ATCGTTTCTTCATAAGTGCTATTTACAAAATTTACGGGTCTATCTCTAATCTATTTACAACCATGGAGTGCGCCCGGCCACCGTGCCTGCTCAACCGACGAATAAGGCCCCGCGCGTCCGCCCCGTCTTCCTTCGCGTCACGCTTTCTCGTTTTTTTTTTTTTTATCCTTTCCTCTCCCACGTTAAGCGTTTCTCCGATCTGTTAGTTTGTTGTGGGGGTTGCGCGGGCACGGCTCCGAAGTAACAAAATAAATACTGACTAGCCCGCCCTGGCGCCTCCGCGTCGAGTGGCGGCAGCGAACGAACGGGACGTCCGTCGATGAGTGAAAGCTCGCGTGACTCGAACTAACTTTGAAAATTGACAAATTAATAATAATAAAATTAAACAAAAGCTACCTCTCTGTACGCGAGAAAATGTTACGAGGGCGTTTCCTCTGCGAGAGACGCGGCTGTGTCCACAAGTGACGACACTGAATGCTTATTTCTGTCTCGTGTAATATAAGATAGCGTATTGTACTTCTTTCTTACAGGAATAAGCATTCGAATAACTACGTCGCGATTGTCTTCAAGTATGTCTTCTTCTGGCATTCAGATTACAAAATGCTCTCTCCTTTAGCAACTAGTGTTGTTACGTGTAATTATGTGATAGTAAGTCAATTTTCGTTTAAGCATGGTGCATATAAAGTTGCTCCTCTCCTCTTTTTCTTCTAACTATCATTTCTCTAGAAATGTGAGAAAAGCTACAATCTTTTCGAAGCCAGTGAGGAAGCATCGTGTGATCTGAATTTTTCAGAATTTTTCCCGACAGGGAGCTATAATACAGGATTATCTTTAACAGATAGCGCTAAGTCAAATTAGTCAGTGTTCAAAAAGTGCAAATTGTTAGCACTTCGATCATTCATTTAACGCTTTAACATTTGCTAGAATTCTGTATAAAAATCAAATGCGCGAACACTGACCTTGCTTAATCGCAATTCGCTAAAGCCATCCTGTAATTTTGCCGGGACTACGTGTATATTAAAGCTTACAAGGAGTATTACAAACTAAATCAGAAGTCGGCAGCACTCTTGCAGAGGAAACAGAGTTCGAATCACGAAGCACACACACACAGCCTTAGTGTCAATGACAATGGAATACCTGGTCTCCGTCCGCTCGCCGAAATCCGTAGGGCGCCAGATAATCTACGATGATAACCTTAGGACGAGACACAGCTGCGTCTCCCTTTTACACGCTGCGACATCGCGTCGCCTCGCCTCGCCTCGCCTCGCCTCGCGTCACGTCACGCCGCGTCACTTCACGTCGCGTCACGTCACGGTCGCGCGGAACAGGAAGATAACACACTCGGTAATCGAATGTCGCTGGGGTCGACCTTCGCCGACGCGCGATACTCGCGAAGATATGTTGGAGCTCCTGCCTCGGGGTGCGCGGCTCGAGATTCTCGGTCGGGAGCCCTCCGAGGGAGGGATGTTCCAGCCCTTACGCCCTTACGCCGCGACGAGGCTGTCGACCGACGGCCAGTACGACACGTGTCACGTGTCCTGGACGTGCAGGTAGACATCCTGCTCTGGCTGACTGAGGAGATGGTGTATCTGCTGCATGGTGCAGAGCGGACAGACCTCCTCCTCGGTGCCGTCGGCGACGAGCCTCCTGGCGGTGCCGGGCGCCCTCCTGCTACCGTAATCGACGATGTACGAGTAGCCGTCGGAATCGATCGAGCTCGATCTCGTAGTCGTTGATCGTAACAGCCGCCTGCCGTTGCTGGGGGGATTCGCGGTCTCGATGCGCCCGTACTTCGTGGACTCCAAATCCGAGTCTTTGAAGTCTATGTAGGAATAGCCCTCGGAGTCTACGGAGAGCCGTCTGCGACCTTCCTCGCGGACCGCGACCTTCAGTACCGCGGCGGGGCCTGTCGGCCCGTTTGGGCTTGATGGCGTCCGGGCGGGGGAAGCACGCGGTCTGGGTCGGTGAGTAGGAGTGATGGGGATACCGGAGTCACGGGGTCTCGCGGGGACTCGTACATCAGTGGAGTAGCCATTGGCAGTCAAACCGACGTCGAGGTCCCGACACGACGGAAATTCCTCGCAAGGGAGTATCGTGGGCGAGGGTGGGGTGAGAGGCGAGGGAGGTCGCTGGCTCGTGATCAGGGCGTTTTGCGTAACCAGCAGCAGGTGGCTGTCTCGCAGGAGGTTGCTCTCGTTTCGCATCAGCAGCGG